ATTTAATAAATTTGGATTGTCTGAGATGATGGAAGATTTCTAAGCAATTCAGATATGATATAAAGGCCTGTGCTACGATGGAAATGAGGCGTCGAAGATGCTCGGACGACGTCCGATCGATAAACGGACAGCTCCATTGCGTTCGGAACATCGTCGACATTCATGATATACATTTTATTTAATAAATTTGGATCATCCGAGATGGCGGTGAATTTTTAGGCGATGCAAATATGATATAAAGGCCTGCGTTATGACGGAAACGAGGCCTCGAAGACACTCGGACGACGTCCGATCGACAAACGGACAATGCCATTGCGTCCGGAACATCGTCTCCATCAAGAATCTACATTTTATTCGATCAAATTGGATTGTTTGAGGTGATGTCACAAATTTCAAAGGCGATTCAAATATGTTGCGAAGGCACGCATTACAAGAGAAATTTGCCCCGTCGGAGACCAAACGATTTCGGATCGACAAACGGACTGCGTCATTGGGTCTGGAACACCGTCAGTACTATGAATGCAATGCCAATTTGTTCAAATGAGGTTTTGCGCGCAAATTGAGACAACGAGCATTTCGAAGGAATTAAGCCTCGTCGCCACCCAAATGACGTCTGATCGCAAAACGGATTGCGCCATTGCGACCGGGATATCGACAATACCCTAAATGCACTATTAATTCGTCCAATTCTAATTATTCGATGAATTCAACACGTTAAACAAGACAGATTGCACGTGAATCGAGAAAACACACAAATCAAGATGCTTTCAATATGATTGGAATATGGTTGTCAAACTAATTAATGTTATTACTAATTATGGTAGGGAATTATTAACATTGCCAATTGATCTTACCGAAAATTAGCTAGTCAAAATGAAAACTCAAATCAAAATTAATACCTTACCTCGTTTGTGTCGAAAATCTCTGCCCAATCCCGTAAATCCCGTTGAGTGAAGACCTCGGATGCTGCTCTTACCTCAAGTGATGAATTAAATCTCTTAAAACAAAGGAAAAAAAAAAAGGAGGAGCTCATTCGTTCAAGGGCTTCTTCTTCTTTTTCTTACGCAGCAGAGCTCTCACAAAAGCCTCCACCTCTTAAATCTACCCTTCACCCATAGAACTCTGTTCCTCCACGTGAAGACCCTCCTCTCTGCTAAGCTAACGGCCGGCTCTTCCCCTCCAGCTCCGACAGCAGACCAAGAAAGCTACCTTTTCCTCTCTGCCTCTCTCACCGTCTCTCCTTCCCCTCTGCTATTCCGAACTCCAAGTGACCCCAGCAGCAAGCAAATGAAACTTTCTTCCTCTCCAAAAAAGCCATCCTCACACAAGCTTGCTGCGAGCCTCTCGACCTGCAATCCAA